TTGTAAAGCTACATTTACAATAGACACGACAACGACACAATGCAGATCCGCGCAGTGTTGAAGAATACAAACTACACGATGATCGTTGTTGTGTCGTTATCATGTCTAGTGTAAATCTAGCTTTAGACGGAAAAGCACATGCGAAGCCACGCTTTTAGGGGCCGGTGTAGCACGAATTTTAGTTCCCGCGGTGAATTTTAGTATTTCGTGGTCTGGATAATCAGAGCTTATGGGGCACAAATTTGCAACACTGTCTTCCGGGGTAAACAATTATTAATATGTCTATGTATTCACTAAAAAACATAAAGTAACGGAAGTTTACAACAGCAGACAACCAGGCCTATTATACCTGAAATACACGTTACATTTACCGCTGTCTCTTATACACATCTAGATGTGTATAAGAGACAGTATATATATATATAATCACTAATGCTAGGTAGCACTGTGGTAGCTCTCGTTGTCCGATACGATTTTTACATCATTGTTCTTTTTACTTGTATTAGTCTGTTCAACACACATATAATGTTGAAAATGTCAAATCCCATTTCTGTGTCTCAATCTAGCTAATCTAGAGGTTGTAGTGTCAATGGCATATTATTTTTAACTGCTGGCTATCTTCATTCAACCTTCATTTTTATTGCGTAGGCCTATTAATTTTTCCCAAGGAAACTTTATGGTTTTACAAAAAGCAGGATTTACAGCAATTTTTCAACAAATCACCTCACTGAGATACAGCTTCACTCGAAGCATGTCGATATCTTAACAATAAATTAATAATAATAGTCTGAAATTTCAATTATTCTTTGTTTATTTATTATACTATTAATTTTTCCCACAGAAACTTTATGGTTTTACCTAATTTAATATCATCTGAGTAATTTAATTACTCATTACGTATTTTTCGTTTAGAAATAATTATGAAAGGGTCGTTTGTTTGTTATAATTAATTGCACTCCACATCACAAATACAATAATAAAAACGGCAAGAACAAAATTCAGTGAAGAATAAAAAAAAATGAGAAAGGAATGCAGAGGATAGAATGCTGTGGCTTGTTTCCGTAGAGGTCCCCAACATAAACGACAGAAACAAGAATAAGATACAGTATTTACTTTATTGTTAACATCAAACGATTTTATATTATATGTCAAGGTATTTTTATTCAATATATCCTCGCAACACATAGCTGGATTTGGATATTTTATATGTAAAATAGAAAATCAAAATATAAATAAAATAGAGTTAAATTGCAAGATATTAAGAATAACAAATCAGTAACAAGTAGTGGCACGACGGAGGAAGTGTTGGGGGCCCTGCATATAAGTAATAGGCGAAGGGGATGTGATTTTGTGAGGGAAGATTTCCTCTCCCGAAGGAATAAAACGAAAGAAAGACTGCATTATAGCCAATGCTATTATAAAGGGCCTTTTGTGCGACTATTCTGCTATTTAACCACTGAATCAACTTGAATTTAGTATTCGTGCGTTTTTACCGGTACATTTGCACTATGCCATTTACTTACATTTCACCATTAACGTGCATCGTTACTTTCACATAGAAAAAAAACATGAATATAAAATGTGTTATTTTCTGTAATGAAGATTAAAAAGGAATATTAAATCTCATTAACCATCAATACATCGTTAAACCAGTAGTCAGGCATTGAAGAAGTTGCCATAAGTAAGGTGCAATCCAACAAGCGGCTCTACAGGCCCGTATCCAGTGGGGTTTTATGGTTCGGGAGAACCCCCTTTTTCTAGCAAACCCCCTCTTTTTTGGCGAACCCCCCTTTTTCCAAATAAGTCCTCCAACCCAACTAATGCACTGCAGACCCACCCAGACACAGAAGTTTTCAAACATATCTGCTTTTATAGCTTTATTTAAACCCATAAAGAACAAAAATCCACTTGCTTTGGGAATTTCGCCGACACCACCGGGGCTTCGACCGTGGACCTCACGCCCAGAAACCCCCCACCCCCTTAGAAGAACCTGGCTACGGGCCTGCTCTACCCCCTGAGCCCAGTTGGTCCACATTTATATACCCCGCACTCCCAAATGGTAAACCTATGGGGCGCCAAACACATAACAAAGACAAAAAGTTTTAAAAAAAATAAAAAAAAAATTAAAAATAGAGAGAGAGAAGGGAAGAGTACATTTTCCTAGTAAACCCCTCTCTTTTTTGGCGAACCCCCCCCCCCTCTTCAAATTTCCCAAATAAGTGCTCCAACCTAACTAATGCACTGCAGACCCACCCAGACACAGAAGTTTTCAAACATATCTGCTTTTATAGCTTTATTTAAACCCATAAAGAACAAAAATCCACTTGCTTTGGGAATTTCGCCGACACCACCGGGGCTTCGACCGTGGACCTCACGCCCAGAAACCCCCCACCCCCTTAGAAGAACCTGGCTACGGGCCTGCTCTACCCCCTGAGCCCAGTTGGTCCACATTTATATACCCCGCACTCCCAAATGGTAAACCTATGGGGCGCCAAACACATAACAAAGACAAAAAGGTAAAAAAAAAAAAAAAAAAATTAAAAATAGAGAGAGAGAGAAGGGAAGAGTACATTTTCCAAACAGAAGGATTTCCTTGTCTGTAAGCTTCATGAATTTTTTTTGGCTTCCTTAGAAGTTTTCAAAGATCTGATAGCAATGTAGTAAAGTTCTGGGTATGGGCTGGGAATTCGACGTTTGCACCAGAAAGCACACAGGATTTACGCCATTATTCAACATTCTCTAGTAAATGTGTAGTAGCAGTGGCTTCAGGGTCCCACAGAGCTCTTTTGGATTGGGTGCCCGGGCTGCGCATACCGAGAGCTCATGGGCGTTGCGTCACTGGTGGCAAGCCAAGTGACATTAAGCAGGATTTACAGCACTTTTTCATTAAATCACACACTAAACAAAGAACTGAAAGATAAATTTATAAAACATCAAATTCGAATTGAAAAAGACATGTACACAAATGTATTCTTATTACAAAGCAAAGCAAATAGTGTCATTAACAAAGCAAACGTTTCCTAATAAATACTGTATCTCATGGTAATAGGTATAGATAAAGCCGAAACATGAAGCTCTGGATTCACAGGCCGGATTACCCATCTCTTTTCCTTTGGCATTTTTGGGTTAGACTGTGCTAAGCTGTTGCGGTTTGCCGCTTCTCCCGCACAACCAGACTGTTTTACGTTCCCAGCACACGCTTACATTATTTAATAAAAGGAACCCTGGGATTTGCAAGTACCTTAACCTCACTGAGATACAGCTTCACTCGAAGCATGTCGATATCTTAACAATAAATATAATAGTCTGAAATTTCAATTATCCTTTCTTTATTTATCGTCTCTGTGAAATTATTAAACTAACTATTGATACGGGAGCATGCACCAAGAATGAAAATATTTATTATGATTGTGAACAAAGGTAATGCATCGAAGTATGCAAAGATGCACGAAAATTGGCAGGTATTCACAATGTTGAGTCTATTTTGGAATAATAATGAAGTTGCGCTTGTTGACCATGAAAAATATGACTGTAAAAGTATGGATAATACTATATATTACATATACATACATTTTCCTGCGTGGCACTGTAGCCACAACATAATGAAATAGATAAATAATAATAATAATAATAATAATAATAATAATAATAATAATAATAATAATAATAATAATAAGAGTGCTAGAATAAGGATCTAAGATGTTATAATCGTATCAAGCATAGCCCTTTAACAAGAAGTTTCTATTTGGAGGGAAAAAAAAATTCTAGCGGGATTTGAACCGTCATACCATTGGACCTTTGATACTTATAATGGTAAAATTGCAAACCAGGCACTTTCATACAACTGACTTACACTTGGTTAAGCTATTCCACTGTGTAATACGTAAGTTGTATAGAGAAAGTGCCTGGGGTTAGATATGGGCTATGCTATACGATTATGACATCTTATGTTCCTATTTAAGCACTGGTATATTTTTATTTATCTGTTTCTTTACGGTACTACGCACCAAACATATTTTAAATATCTATGGAGTTCTTTAATGATAATAAAAATGATGATGATAATAATAATAACTGCATGACAAGGACAGTAAGACAGACCGACGGGCATAATCCTATTCATATTTAGGATAAACCGAAACGATACTTACAGATCATTGTTCAAAAATAATAAAACGTTCACGTCATCAAATTTTATTGGTCAATTGTGGTAAACCTAACGCATTCATACAAAATCAATCAATTATTACATTATGAAAACCCGTTAAAAATACATGCATAATTTGTTGCTCTCTTTTTGTTCTTACACAGAATATTTGTTTCACGTACGTACAAGCGATCACGAAATACATCGACTATACAACTTGCGCCTAACACAGGTGAGTATATTGTACCCAAATTCGGTGTTAGGCTTCATTGTAAAATGCTTATAACATTATACAAATTATTGATAATTTGCAGTATAACGTATTGTAGATATTGAAAACACGTTTCCTCAGTTTGAGTGGCATAGGCAGTATCGAAATACACGCCATCGTGTCGGGATTTAATAGTTCATTATCATCATAGTCATCATCAGGATCATTCCTGACGATGACATAATTTATGTCGACATATCGAATTCCGACACGATGGCGTGCATTTCGATACTTGGAGTATGAATTATACTATTTTATCTGAGATTGGCAGTGTCATAAGCAGATTTCCCCCACCGTGCCACTAAATGAAAAAAATTAAAATAAATAAAAAAATCAAGTCAAGGTGTAATTTCTGGTCATCTGAATATACCGTAGGCATAAAATGTCATACATCAGCCCCAACAATGGTTGGTCTGAGATATATAGTCTGGACCATCCACCTGAAAATTAATTTGTCAAGGGCCTTCTCTATTTCCAATTACTGTACTGGATTTGCCACTGAATATATTATTCAGAAAAAATGTATTCTAAATAAAAAGACGGCTGTAGAGTGAACTTAAATTTGATTATGGTGCGATTTATTAAATACAAAAGTCGGTCTAGGCATCCGTCACATTATTTTATACCAGAGTTCTCAATCACAATGTCTGACACGAGAAACATAATTGATCTTGTTTTTCTTCAATAGCATTAAGGCATGGGTGAAGCTAAGGTATGCTAGCAGTGCAATGGAACATGGCCAGAAACAATATGCTCGACATTGCTTGGCCATTGGACTGTTACTTCTACTGCTAGTGACCATTACAATTTACTATGTCAACAGTGAAAGTAAGGCTTCAGAACGAAGAAACTGCACCTACTATCATCACCATTATAATCATTATCATATCGTAATCATTATTATCTTCGTCATTATAGTTATCACTATCCTTATTGAAATCGACACTATTATCATAGTTATTTTATTATTATTATTATTATTATTATTATTATTATTATCATCACCATCATCATCATCATCGTCATCATTATCATCATCATTACAATAATAATTATTAATATTATTGTTATTATTATTAATATAATAATAATAATAATAATAATAATAATAATAATAATAATAATAATAATATTGTTATTATTATAGGGTTGCATTTTAACTTAGTACACAGACGAGCGTTTTACAATCTTGCAAAGATGATTGCATGTACGACCGAACTTAGTCGCTACTCTGTGTTTGATGATTACCATGACTACGGTTGTTGGTGCGGTCTTGGAGGTGCCGGAAGGATAATGGATGATTCAGACAGGTAAACTGATGACCAATAACATACCAATACAACTTCTTTGCAGTTTCCACCATCAATAAATATGAATTCAATAGGACCTGCGTCATCACTAACATTGGCGGATTTAATTTAATTAGCATCTTTCATTCGGTTGAGGACCGATGCGCCTTTGGGCTATGGCACTTTTTTAGGGAAGGAAAATAGTAATTGAGATAGGCCTAGTTATCACTAAACAAAATTATTATACTGCGCCCATATATACCACATAGTGTCGAAACACGAGCGCTTCCCGAGATCCCAGCACCTCTGTTTTGTTATACTGGACCGGTGACGGCGACTATTGGGGTCCCAGTCCGCCCCTGATCATTGAATATCTTGTTGGCGCCAACAAGAGGATCTCTGACGCGAGTAACTTAGGTTTTGACAAATACCAGGTAGCCCTATATTTTAATAAATATGTTCTATTCAACATAAACTTTTGTTTGGCTTGGTTTTCTTAGGCGGAATGTACGCCTACGCATGTATTAACCAAATTGTGAATTTATGGTTTTTTCTTTATTCGCACCCAATGGAAAATTCCCATTGTATAATAGAAATGAGCTGAACGTTGCCCTCCAAGTCTCTAGGATTAGGATGGAGTAAAATCCAGCAACTTGTATGATATTAACCCGGGCCAGGCATGGCAAAACCATAGCCACAAATGGCGGCACCAACGGCTATTACAATACAATATTTCTATCATATCAATAGGGTCTTAGCAGTTGTAAAACCAGTGCACGGGAGGGGGAGAGGATGCAGTGGGACTGCACGAGGATGCAGTGGGACTGCACATGGGCATTCGGACAATCCGTTCTCCAAAGCGTCTCCGAACAGTTTAAAACGGATCATAATTGGCTGGTTTCTCTAGGCAGCATAGGTCCTGCATACTTACGTAGCATTCAGTCAGTAAAACCACAAGGGACTTGGAATAACAGAGTAGAATATCTTTGTTATTCTATTATTATTCTACAAATAGTTAGGACGACGTGGTAGGACCTACTTGAGGGATAATGTGAATCTGGATGTGGATGAGCACGTATTCCTTAACGCCTCTAAAATTAGCAACGTACAAAATGAATATTTATTTATTTTATATTTGTTTATTTATTCGTTTATTTATATAGCACATTTTCTTGTAGATAATGTACAAAGCGCTTCTTTCCCTGGTCATTGATTCTACATACTTGGGTTTTGCTGCTGTGATCAGTACAACCACATCAAGTACCCTTTTCTCTACTGGGTGGCAACGCAATGTAGATTTTTTTTTTCAAGGACACAAACGAAATGCTCAATTGAAAACTCCGATTTGGAAACCAAACCGTTTGGCTGATTAAAAAAAAAAAACAAAAACAAAAAACCGCTTGTAAAATGTTAATAAATACGTCAAAAAGAAAAAAAAAAAAAAACAAAAAAAAAAAAAAAAAAAAAAAAAAAAAAAAAAAAAACAAACCTAAACTTAAGTATTAATAAAACATTTTCACCGTCCAAATGTGATTAAGTCAAGAAAGTAATCGAACTGGACAACTTTCAACTTAATCTATTTTTGAAAGTTGTTATCAAAGCCCTTTGAATTTTGTTTTACATCAGTTCATTCTATTTCTAGTTGCTTGCAGGTTAGACTGCCTTTAAATATTCTCTTGCCTTGTATGGTAAAACACAGGTTATTTATACCGTTACACTGTATATAATATTCGTGGTTTTAACAATAGTTGAATTTTATTTTGTATACGTACACAGGTGCTGTTCAAAACATGATGAATGTTACACGGATGTCTCATGTCCTTTGGATATCACAAGATACATCCTTAGTTACAATTACAAAATCGATGACTGTGAAAATAACAACACGTCTCTTATAACTTGCAGTAAGTTTCAAAGAGTTCAGAAATAGTTTAGGTAAGGATGTGGGGTGCTGTTTTGAAACGGTGGTGCCTCGAACATGATTTCTTGATCTCATTTACATTTACTGCTTTACAACTAACCCTTCCATTTATGAGGATGAACGCCAACAGATATATATTATAGTTGTCATTGGTTTTTATTGTATGTGTTGATGGGACCTGGAGAATAACAATTGTTTTATGCACTGATCAGGTCACCAAGGGTAAAGAGGAAATAAATAAAAATAAAATAAAATAGACTATACAATGAATAATGTTCATTGGTTTCACTATGATCCCGGCGTCGAAATCCCCCCCAAAAAGGGAGATAACATCAGAAATATCCTCTACCGTTGGGATTGGGGACAAGGCTATCTAGCGAGTTCACACTGTGCGATTAACGTTACGGATGCTAGCGTAAGTTTATGTGTCTGAACATACCGTACTCGCAAGAATAAGCTCCGGGGCGCTTAAAATATTTTGTTTGCACTTTCTGAGGGGCGGTTATTCAAACGGGGTGCTTATTTAAACGGGGCGCTAATGAAAACAGAGTGGAAATTGAGGGGGCTTTATGGAAATAGATGAAAATCAAGGTGGTTCTTATGGGAAATTATTAAATTCAAGAGGCACTTTTTGAATGAAAAGATTATATAAGGACATTACGGAAGGTGGTTAGAAAAGATAATCGTCCAGAGAACATTGCTCATGACAAGAATGCGTGAATATTTACATACCAGCAAAATAGCAGCTGAAATTAGTGGTGGTGGGTAGTGGTTAGCTTGTAGGATCATTGTATTTTTTCTTGCAAACTCAGATGAGAATGTGCTTAAGGTCGGAAAAAGAAAGAGGAGTAGGACTAGGCATAGACAAATATGTAAAAAGAGTAAAGTTGGAAATATACTGTCTGTCCAGGGATCGGAGCTCTCATCTGTCCATGAGAAATATCCTCATTTTGATATTGACCGAAGAAGAATGTGTTTTCACTCTACAGCTCAAATCATGCCAACAACCACAATCCCAGGATTGATTGGATTATTGACTTGCTAAGAAGAAAATCTTATGAAAAGGGGGGGGGGGGGGCCCTTATTCAAACGGGGCGCTTATTCGCGCGAGTACGGTACCAAAGTCGTCAGCTCGTAAAATAACCACCTCAATGGTGGCAGGATCAAGTAGGACATTCGACTGAAAGACTGAGTGTACGAGAGCAAAAGATATGTTTATAGGATTACTTTTCTAATCTTAAGTTGAAAACAATATTATGACAAAAATTAATAATCAACAAACTACACAACTAATATTTGAACTGCATTTTTTAATAATTAAAAAAAGAAGCCAATGCGAAATTCGAGTGGACACAGTTATTTTGTTTAAGACATTATGTTAGGTATGGGGTGCAGGTTGGAGATATAGGCTTAATTGACAGATGTGTTGAAAACGAAATCGTGATGATAGCGAGGTGAAATGAAAGTGCAAGAATTATAATCATCCTAATCATAATCTTTCTTTTATACTCATAATCGTCACTCTCGTGACTGACCATCACCTCTATATCACAATGCAATTTTTATGGTCATTATCGAAATAGGCCTACTAAACATGAGAATACTGGATTGGTAAAACTAGTAAACAATGCATGGAAATAGGGGGATGGCTTAAGCATTACGGCCGCCCAATACCTAGCTCAAACAAAATCTTTACTTCATAAAAATAGAACTCTTCAGTTACTAATGTACCAACAAATTGATTATTTTAGCACCTGTCCTCCTCTAGCGGCGCAAATGTATCACCAATTAATGCATGCATGATCGCCTCCTTTTTCACCACAATAACAATACCTGAATATGAGTATATAGACCGTTACTGCAGTAGTTTATTCAACTTTTCCTAGTACTAATATTATCAAGGACTTTTAAAAGTCTACGACATAATAAGTTTTAAAAAAAACATATCGAGGGCGCTAATTATAATAACACTTATTTAAACTTCAACAGCTTAGTTCAGGCAGTGACAAAGTAAATCGTCGCATCACATCAACGGCATTACAAAAATACATATTATACACAAAAAACATGTTCAAATAACAATACAAAAATAAAACATTTCACACCTACTTTATTCAGGCTACACTCATATTATACAGTACTGCTGCAGTACTACTGGTACTTTTTCTTGAATGTTACTGTAGAATACTAAGGCATTACAAAAATACATACTATACAACACATGTTAGAATAGCAGGAGCAATACAAAAATAAAATGTCACGGCTACTACATATCATCTGCTGCAGTACTACGGATATAAATAGGAAAGTATTTACAGTAGCATACCTTGTCGAAAGAAGTTATAAAAAGACAAAAAAAAAATATAAAAACTAAAAAGTGGTGTTCTTGGGTATTACTCAAGGTAAGCACATTTTCATCCAAAGAGTCAAGTTAAAATATTAAATCCATTACCTATAAATCAGTGCCTAGGTTAAGGTATTATTATCACATGAATACAGAATAACATAAACACCAGAAACTGAACACTTCACATGCACAGGCAATCTTAAGAAATGATATAAAAGGCAACAGCAGGCATGCAACATCAAATATAAAAGATGGTGTTTAACTTCATCAATGAATGAAATTTTGCCAAAACTGTAACTTCAATTGAAAGTGCAAGCTTACAAATTTTCCCATGCATTTGTATACACCCCGATGTAGTAAAGCTGTAAAAAGGTGTGCATTTGTGTTTTGCTGAAATGCTTGTTTGTTTACAGTAAATACAATTGTGTGTTTCATTATCAGAAATATTGAAACATAATAATCATCAATTTTCCCCATTACTTTATATAAGTGTGTGAATATAACATATTAACTGAGTAAAACTCAGTCTACACTATCACTTTTATATAAACAATACCAGTGATTAACTCTATAGGTCTGAAATGACATCATCATGTTCTTATATGGTCACAAATGTTGATAAATCAATAAATGATCTGTTTTTTTTGTTTAAGCAATCGATAGCCTTTTCCTGTTGTGTTATGTTATTTATGTTTCTTCTGAAAATGACGTCTTAAGTGAGCAGAGAACTTGTATCTCATGGAACACATTTTACATTTATGTGGATAAACATCGGTGTGATACTTGCGATGTAGTATAAGTTCCCGTTCAGTTTTGAAACTTTCTAAACAAAGATAACACTCATTTTTTTTATAGTGTTCAGCCTCTTCATGGTCAGCGAACGCCTCCAATGTCGGAAATTTCTTCAAACAAATGCCACATTTATAGCTGTCATTGTTTGGGCTTTGATGTTCATAGGATCCTGTTGCTCTTGAGGAAATGTTTGGTATTCTTAATATTGAACCTGCTTTGTTGAGCTCACTACGCTTCTCGAGCTCTGTTGGTTGCTCATTAGGTTTCCGTTGCTTATTGCTTTCATGACTCGTTGAGCTGGTGTTCAAAGACTTGTCGTGGAGTATGAGCATATGACGTTTTAGAAAACCAACAACCGTGAATCCTCGTCCACAAATGTTGCACAAATATAGCCGAGTTTCTTTGCACTCCACAGAATGTTGTTCGAAGGCATGGACAGATTTGAAGTTCACGCCACAAACTGTACAATTGTGGTAAATCTTGCAGCGATTTAGTCTTCTGTGCTTCCTTAAAGCACTCTGGGAGCTAAAAGAATTTCCACATGTCTTGCACTTAAAACGTTTGCTGGATATAGCTCTCTGTGTATTTTGTAGAACCACAGGCCTTAAAAGGTTGTTAACTTTGTGTATTTTTTTATGTTTACCTAATCCACCCTTGTTCGAGAAAGTCCTTCCACAAATGTCACATGGGTAATTCGTAGTGCTGGTACTTTGCTCATGTACTCCAAGATCTACCTCCTTTGGTAAAGTTGTACTACATTTGCTGCGAGCGAACACGTTAAATTCAAATTCTGGACAACAAACGTAATCATGTTCAACAAGCTTGCCTTCATCTTCAAAAGATGTGCCACACTTACGACATATGAACAGATCATTTGGCAGCATATCAGAATCACTTGTTTTTATTTTTTCTAGTTTCTTATTATTTGAAGGTACCTCAAATGAATCTTTTGAAGGATACCTGTCCCCTGCTATGTTTGGGATGCATGTTAATTCATGTTTAGCGAGTCCTTGTATCCTCTTGAAAGTTTTTCCACATATTTTGCAAGAGATGTCATCAGAATTTTTAGACTGAGAATCGATAGAGCCTGGATAGTAATTAGCAGTTTCACTTGTAATATCTGGCATGCAGGAGTGTTTGTGCCTCTTTAGACTTTGAAGGCATCGAAAAGACTTACCGCATATACAAGGGAAGCATTTTTGCTTTTTTGTTACGGGAGCCTCTTTGTTTACGGTTTCTTTTAAGGTTTTCCTTTTCCTTGCAACGCATACCATCTTGTGGGCAACAAGGATGTTATGATTTAAGAAGACCCTTGAGCACATGGAGCATTTGTGACGAACCGGCCTTCTGGCTTGTTTAAGCTTTCTCCCTTTTCTTGCAATACAAACCATCTTGTGTGCAGTTAGAGTATTCCGGCTTAAAAAGGTTCTTGAGCACATAGGGCATGTATTAGAAACACTTGATGTTGGCTTCTCAGGTATTTGACGACAATTTACCTTATGTTTCCCTAAGGCTTTTCGATATATAAATGCCCTTCCACACTTTTTGCAAGTACACACAGGTACTGATTTAGTAGCATCTTTGGTTGGTTTTGCTTGGTTGGTAAACCGAGCACCCTTCATTATACTTGTACCTTGGTTAGTATTTGATACTGTGGCTTTGTTCACTTCAGGAGATTTTCTAGAGCAGTTTCTCAATTTGCATGACAATCTATGTTCATTGAACAATATGATGTTTTTAAAAGTCTTGGAGCACATCTTGCAACTGAAAGACTTACTAGGTAAAGTTGAGTCTGATTGATTATTGGCAACAGAGGTTTTACCCACGACAATTGAACAAGACCTTACATGCTTTGAAAGACCTTTCAGGCAAAGAAAACATTTCTTACAACCTTTGCACATGTTCAGCTTTATATTTTTACATCTACTACTGTTATTATGTTCTTCTGGATGTAGCTTTATCAGATGGGATTTTAATAAACCCGATTTAGAAAAAGCTTTTTGGCAGATACCACATCCATAACAATACAGTAAGCGTTTGCATAATTTAATTGGACCTAAGGTATTTTGCTTCTCGGACATAGCACCAGAGCAGAATCGTTTATGTTCACACAATTCTTTGCGATTATGAAAACCAGTCTTGCAGCACTTACAGTATACTAACAGCTGCTTCTTCGTATATGCCCTTGATTTACTTCGTAAAACATTCTTACACAATGCTACATGTCTAGTGTGTTGAGACTTGCCATAGAATCCCCGTCGACACACTGGACACACTAGGATCGATTTTGCATTGGAAGGGTCTTTTGTACATTGGTGTTTCTGATAGAAATTTATGTCAAGGAAACTTGTGTTACAGGTGTTACAAAAAAACACATGGTTGGCATTTTTATAGTTCCAAGTCAGCACTGAATCTTGATCGGCAGGTGGTAGTTCTGCAGAAGGGCCTTGGTTCATGTGAATCAAAATATGCTTCTTAAGATCACGGCTGAACTTAAAGCACTGCAGACAGATACTGCATTTAAATGGTTTATCTGCATGTTGCACCCTCATATGACTCTTAAGGGATTTTTCTGATGAAAATAAATTTGTGCACTCGCTGCATTTAATATGCTTCTTAGCAACAGATGACACTGGTGATGCAGTATCTTTGTGTAAACCAGCATTACATACTTTTACATGCTTGATGAACTGAGTGTGTACTGAGAATGTGTAGCCACAGTAGTAGCAGGTAAGTGATTCTCTTTCTGACATGGCAGTGGACTCAACTTCATTCTTGTGCATTCGTCGTAAGTGACTTAATATTTTGGAGCCAGTTTGAAACTTGAAGCTACAAAATTGACATGCGAATGGTTTGTCTGACAGGTGCTGATATTCATGTGAATTTAGAAATGCTTTGCTTCTAAAGGTCTTCATACAGAAACGGCACTTTTGAGAGATCTTGCCAGGATGCTTCAACCTTTGGTGTGATCTTAGATTGCCAACTTTATTGAAACCAATACCACAAACAAAACAAGGGAATGCTCTACCAACCTCAGAGCTGTGGAACAATTTGAAGTGTTCATCCAAATCAGACTGTCCTTCAAAGCAAACAGAGCAAACTTTACAAATAGATAACTTCTGATTTATTGTATGTATCTCCTCATGTTTTATTAAAGATCCCTTCTGAACAAACACCCTCCCACAGTAAGTACATCTATACCTTCCCAAATCCTCCATATGTGTGTTTTCATGCTTCATCAACACACTCACATGAGCAAACCTTGCACCGCACTGTTTACACATGTATGGTTCATTGCCTCGGATGGTCTTCCCTGGTGGACAGGTTCCTCTGTAGCACACTGGTTCTGTTCGGTTGTGTGGATTGTAATTGACAGGTTTCTCAATAAGTTCTATTTGGTTTTGTTGCAGATATTCATTCAGATCAAAACTAAGCTCATCATCTAAGGAATATAAAGTAATAGAAACCTATTATTATTATCACAATTTATATTGAAAGAAAGAATGACTAATAATATTATTAGAGAATCTTTACTAATATTAACTAATAATGTTATTGTTTTACCCTTCATATATCTAAAATTGTTATTGACCTGGATTTTTATGTACATTCTTTTTTAAATTTATATAAGATTTGTAATAAACAATGATGATAATGATGATGAATATCACTATAAAAACAATAGTAAATATTCAAAGTACAATTAATTATCATGTCAAATTGTACAGCACAACAAAAATGTGAGCATGCGGGAATTCTGCTTTCAGACCAATTTGCAGTATACTGTAAGACAGGAGTGGGCAGAAAAATCAGTTTGACGGCCAAAGTGACTTTTTGATTTAACACCGAGGGCTGCAACCAAACTTTGTTGTTTCCAGTGTGCTTCCAACCTCCAAGAACTGCTTTTACACCAATTTATTCTCCGTTTTATTTTACTTTTTACATATGATCGGTGTTGGGCCATAAAATACAAGGTGTTTTCAAGCTAATATTGCTTGGCGGGCTGCACACATAGGGTTTTTAATTAATTTTCGCGGGCCGCAAAAAAATCGCTGGCAGGCCGCACTTTGCCCACATGTGCTTTAAGACGTCTATTTTACATCCCTTGGTACTAAGGGGTATTCGTAAATAAAAAAAAATTGTAAACTAGATCCAGTGTCAGTTTCGACTAACTAGGCCTAGCCATCCTCTGCCACTGAGCGCCAAACTGACAGTGCAGCAGTGCGGTCTACAGTGCTAGAGCCTAGCTTAATTTACCTTATTTAAAAACTAAATTTTGTATTGGCTGGCTGGCATTCACCAGTTTAACAAAATATTGTTTTAATTCTTATTAAACATCTGTACATTTTATGAACCATTCTATCATGTTCTTTGTAGTTTTTAGATCGCTGAATTGTACTGTTAACATGCATTTCACGAACATCTAGCATTCACGATTTCAAGTCTTGTTTATTCATCATTGTAAACATATGCGCCCAAACTGACGACTCGCGTTGGTAGTTCATTGCTCTGGTTAGGTTTACTATATTACACTAATATAACGATTATTATACAGTAGCAGAAATAGAAAAAAAGATTGAACTATAATGACTGCCAGACCTCGTTTTTAAGGTTCTTTCACGTGTGCCAAAACAAGTTTACATGTACAAACATATTTTTTTGAAATTTTATCTAGTCATATATCATCAAAATGATGTGTCTAATAAATTGGCAGGAAAATATTAGGGGGCGAGTATACTCGTCGACGACACTGTGATAGAAAGTTTTATTGACTATGCCAAGTGCAAGTTATCTTGTCCGCTTTTTGCATGGATTGGTATATGGTCAAAGGGCGCCCCCACTTGTGCTGGTCAAATGTACTACCGGCTACATAACACAACATACGTCATACAGTATGTACGTTATCGTCAAGGTGTATCTTCCACGAAATACCAGCCATCGTGTCTGCAGTTCTACAATGTATAACAAAGAAGTTATAAACGCTGCAGTGTTCCCCCCGATTTTGATGCGTATACTCGTCCCTGGCGCCCTCAGCAACACCCTGTGGGCGATTATACTCATCGCTTGTAGTTCATGTGTTAATAAATAAATAAAAACTAGATTTTTAAAGAAAAATATACATTTATCACTTTAAAAAACGCACGCAATCAGACTTTTTTTACGTCATTAATTGGTCGATGATGATGTCATCAAGATTCGTAAAATTAAATATTCATAAAATCAACATTCGCCAAATGGATGTTTTACTGTACAAAGTAACAATAAACGAGTCAATAAAAAAAATTAATATTTAAAAAATTAAAAAAAACAAAAGATACCTACCTTCAGGAATAGGAGACTGTTCATCCAAGATATGAGTGGTGCTGGATGGTACAGACTCACTCATGTTACAATTCTTGTCCGAATTCAACCCCGACATTGAATTGATGCTTGCATTTTCTCGACCAGTTGACTGGTCTGGTAATTTTACATCAGTGCCTTCTAAGTTACTAATTATCTTAACATCAGTGGATATTAGAAGCTGATCGCCTTTATTTATAGATTTTGATGAACGGAAGAAGATTGTCCCATTGTAAAAAACTGGTTCGAAATTTGTCTCTCTTTTGTTCCTTGCACTGTTAACAAATATCATCCAGTTACACATTCTCTCATTGAACTTGTTATCAAGATCTTCAAAAGTCTTAGATAATTGAAAATCCTGTAATGAAATGAACATTGGAAGAATAATTAATTCTTTAGGGAGGGGGAAATATAACTTAAAAGTTCATACAGTATGCAATAATTTTATCAAGTACAAGACGGCTGACTACTGTATACTTCTATAATACCATATTTCAAAAAGCATAAGTATATTACAATTGTGGGTTTGCATCAGGAAAATAACATTTGAGTGATGTTTTGTCCTACCTGACGTGTTATCGTACCGAATACTCAGTAATTCCCCAAACACTAGCGAAAACAATTTGCAAGTGATTCAGGTGGAAATTGAAACCACGACTTCCAAGTATCCAGTCTGATGTCTTAACCCACATCGTAATAGCACTTACAGTACCCGCTGCTACTACAGTAGGGGATCGGATTCATCACTAGTCACCAACCGCAAGCTCAATGGTCTAGTGATTAAGACATCAGGCTAGACACCTGAAGGTCATGGGTTCGATTCCCACCCGAATAACTTGCAAATTTTTCAGCTCGTATTTGGGGACGTTTGGTAGTATTTGGTACAAAAAAGATGTCAGGTAGGTCAAAACATCACTACTATATAAAGGTATAAATAGAAGAGAGCCGACTACACTCACTAACAGCGTAAACAAACGATACGAAATACGCAACGCAGCTAGTGAAGGATGCCTGCTAACTGTACTAATGGATTACCCAGTAATGCACACATGGTTTGTTTATTTGTACTGTATTCTGTTTTCCAAATTATACAATACATTCATAGAGGGCAGTATTTTACTTATTTTCTTTATCATTATAAAATCGTAGCGGACACACTTCATGTGAACTATAGAGTACAGTCAGCGCAGTCCACAAAGACAATGGTGACTTCCATCGTAGTCTAGGGGGTGACATATTTACAAACGTAAGTACGCTCTCTTGTTCTATTTATATTCTTTTGATTATTTTATCATTTTAATTTAATATGTTATCAACTATTAAAAATAAGACAGAACCCTGGAAGTAATGCAGAACTACAGTAGGCCCTGATTGTCGAACATTATTGTTCTAAATTCAATGAAAAAACAAAACTGTGATTAGATAAAACAACTTAAATATGAATATTTATATAAATTTAAATTACTACATTATACTGTACATACTTTCCATTCCTCTGCAGAATTTCCCACTGGGCCTTCATAGGGACCAAAGATGAGGCCTTTTGAAAATGTTGTCTGGGCCCACACTCCTGTTCTTGTGGCATGTGTCTCTACTGGCTCTATCGTCAACCCATGTGGAAGCGTACGGCGTGCCCGGTTGTAGATACCCTTCACAAAGTTTTTATCCTTTATGTGCTTCATGGCTGATATAAAAAGCACACATCTTTTTCAATAAATGGTGATTATTTGTGGAAAAAAAACAAACAAATTTGTGTTATCTTGACATTAAGCTTTGACATTGAGAACTAGCTCAAATGTCCATCTGTAGTGGCAATAATAATTAACAAACATTTATTATGCGCCAATTTCAAAATAAATTATCAAGGTACAAAAGTACAATACACAGAGCATGAATTTAATATTAAAAGTAGTAGAGTTATAAATAGAAACGTAAAAAGAACGTAGGAACAGAGTACAATACAGGGCTCGATTTTTCGTTTTTTACTAACCAAACTGGGCTAGTTCAATGTAGATTTCACTAGCCCACAGGCTACTTTACTAGCCCAATCATTGGCTGTACAATACTCCATGTATAGATGCAATATGTTGTTTTGCCGTTCGCATATTTGGGATTTTTAGTCGACTGCAGATAGGAAAAGAGCTAGGCCTAGTTCAATACTAGCTACAGATAAAGATCACATTGTTTTTGTTTTAACCATAATTTGAAGCAGAACCTGCAAAGCGATGCAATACTAATGGAACTATGGAAATCACTACCTGATGAAATATATTTATTATTTATCTTACTAAATCAAGACTACCGTACAAAATATTATTTGATGAACAATCTTTTCACATGTGTGTAAATTGAGGACATCATTTTTTGACAGTTAAGAGGTAAAATAATTGTATATAAATAGGCTTGGGCCTAGGCTAATTAATTGAAAAAAAATAATACAGCAGTACAAACAAGTTCCTGTCGTCGCCAGCGAGTGTGGAAGTGGAGACTCCTCATAAAATCAAGTGTACTTTTTTCTTATTTAAAAAAACAGCTCCGTAAGCTACAGCAGTCTTTTTGCACATACAAATAAACAACACACTTTTGCTTCGTAGGTTCGCTTCGCATGCTTGCTTATATTGTTTATATCAGGCTACGATGTATCTACGAAGGCTGCGCACCTGAGAAATTGCAATAGTTTCCGGATGTACTGTAGGCCTTGTTCACTAGCTCACCGGGCAAAAAGGAGGGGAAGTTGACTAGCCCGGAGCAGTTTTAACTAGCCATTCTACGCCGGGCTAGTAAAAAATCGAGCCCTGCAATAGATGAGTTTTAAATTGAGTTTAAATGAATCCAAGGAGGGTGAGATTTTAACAGGCGATGGAAAGTCATTCGACAGAAATAAGGCAGAAAAATAAAAAAAGGGGGGGGGGGGACAGTGACAAAATTCTTATTTGCTGAGCGGAGATTGGGGACATGGGTATTTAGAAATTCAGAGAGATAAGGGGGTTGTTGGAATTGAAGAGCCTTAAAACACAATAAAAGGATTTTAACAATTAATTGTGTTGCCAAATAGGTAGTCAGTGCAGGTTTTTCAGGATGGAGGTGATGTGGTGGTGCCTGGGAATGATTGATTGTGCATACACGAGCAGAAGAATTCTCAATTTGCTGTAAACGTTTAAATGAATAAGAAAGGAGGCCAAATAAAAGTGAATTACAATACAGTTTGCAATCATTGTAAACTTCTATGAAACATATGGGCAATATTTGAGACCAAACGTTTGCAATGTTTATTTAAATTTATCATCCATTCTACTCAAAATAGTGCGTTCAGATTTAATTTTTTCCAAAGTTTTTTTTCCTGTAGGAGATGCCCATATAAAAAGGAAACTTTCCACGCATTAAATTAAGTAATTTGATAATTTAACATACATTATCCCAGTCCAAAGAGGAACGAAGTGTATGAAATAAGAGTTTCACGTTTAAAACCAGCATTTAAAAAATACAAACAAATTCCTCACCTTAAAGAACCATTCTAATACAGCCAAAAGCAAACTTGATCTACGAAGTAACAGCTACAGTACAATATTTGATACTGCACCTATGATAAAAATATAGATTTAATAATTTCAATTGGTTTGAAATTACTGGCACAACGTAAACACTTTAAACTATTTTCTATTGTACGCGAGACTGGAGGTACGCAGGGGAAATGCACCCCTCCCCCATTCTCGACAAAAATCGCGATTTCCGGGAGATAGCATGAACATTTAGAGAACTCCTGATCAAATTTGTAGAGTTAGAACTTTCGTATGGTTTTGGTTTACTGTATTGCCTTTTTTGTTATTGCTGGATTTGGCCATTACTGTTTTGGTTTTGCCCCAGTAGTTAGGCCTCACTCTAGTTTAAGTTCTAGTCCTCTCTGGGCTTCAGCAAAAACTCAAAAAAGTTAGAGTTGGAACTAGAGTACTTATTATAATCTGCAGGGGCTTTAGGGGGCGGCCCCACCTACTGTACACCACACCACCCCTAATTTTTGGAAAGTCAAGAAAAAAAAAGAAAGGAAAAGAAATTATCGTTAATCGTTCAAAACGCCTCAGAAGTTCCAGGTGTAGAAGACAAAAAATTTCCTCCTACTGTAGGGTACAGGGTACTGTAGTATTGTCTTTTGATCGCCAACACCCCCTCCCCTCCTGGCCACTATGAGTAATTCAGAAGATTTAATAAATATTACAATTATGTTTGTAAACATGACTTTTCATTTCTGTGAACTGCAAGAAGAAAAAGAACATTGTGTATACTGAAAAACATGCAAAAGTATATTCAAATTAAATAATTAAAAATTTTGAAACAATAACAATTGTAAAAAAAAAACTTAAATAATAATCATACTGAAAAAATACAAAAATTTATTATGTACTGTATAGTCAAGCATACTAAAAAAGAGAAATTAATAAAATTAATACTAAGTATACTGTAACACAGAAAAGTAGAATTTATGGTACAATTCAAATTCCTATGGTCTACCTACCATCTGGCAACAGAAAGGTTGTGTGGGTTTGTTTAGTGGGGCGAGTTTGTTTAGTGGGGCGAGTTTTTAGGGGCCATTTAGGGAGTGAGTTTGCGGGAGAGTTTGTTTTGGGGACGACTGTGTATAGGCCTAGCCTAGTCGCAAGGAAGGGCGAATTTGCTAGGGGTGACTTTGTGTTAGGGGCGAGTTTGTTACTGGGAGATTGTGTACAGTCATTAAGTGGCGAGCTTGTCAAGCAAGGGGGTGAGATTGCAAAGGGGCGAGCTTGCCAACACCTCTCACAACGGTCCTACTAAATACCACATGGGACCACTCGCGACCACTCGGAACCACACGGGTGCAAAAATGATTAAAATATTACCACACGAGAGTATAAAACTGCTATATAATCAATAAAAACCAACTTTTATAATGACAATTGTCCAAAATATCCTGAAATATGGTAAAAATGATTTTTTTTAAACAGGTTTTTCCGCCGTGCTTCGGAAGGTAATGCGTTGACATTGAGGTTCTGTAACGCATTCACGTCTCCAGAAACGCGTTCAACCTTGACCTCTACCACATTCATTACGTACGTTACTTCATCCTGCGTATTCTACAATAACTCTATTTATTACGTGACTGTATCTGCTTTGTATTTGCATACTTAAGTGTTTTTGACTCTTATTATTTTAATTTTTTTTAATTTGTATTGATTCTGTAGTTTGATTTAGCCCATAGAGACAAATCTAGTTATCTTCTTATGAATAATGTTTTTAAAGATGGTATTTTGAGATTTTTTATATGAAAATAAATAAAAAAAATAAATAAATGGCAGTAGTACCGCTTTTTGTGTTTCAATGTTTTTTTTTTTTTTTTTTTTTTTTTGTATCACTGTTATCTTGTTTGCTGGGATCTTCGGAGGACCAGGAATTTTATCCCTGAGCAGTCCCCCAGGATAACAATAAGGTAAATAAATAGATAAAAAATGAAATATTGTTTTTTGCTTTTTAATGTAAATCTTGTTGGTTTTGACGCACCGTAACATTGGGAGTTTAAGCTCAATAATTTATTATTATAATCGAGAAACTTATTCTAAAGTATTCAAGTCTAATTAACTTACTGAAAGAAATAGGGGCCAAAAAAATTGCAATTCTAGGCCTCTGTGGGTTTTATTCCATCTAATAAGTATCTTCCGAATTCATCATCACAGAGCACAATAACAATTAATTGAAAGATATGTAATGGATATAAATGGTAGATAAATAAGAGCACAGCACATTATTAAAAAAATAATAAAGGTTAAAATTAGTGATATAAATACGTTTATTACTTAAACGAATATTATCTCGGTCGTTCCTACAATAAACCTTCTTTAAACACTTTATTAGCATAAACAGTAAGGGCGTAGGCCTAAACTTTATAAAATAACAAATGGTTTATATAGCTGTACAGAGCTGATGCATGCTAATTAGCAGAAGTTACTTATACGATATACTGTACATGAATTGGCCAACAGTTCTAGACAAAATAATAATAATAATTAAGTTGTGAGTAAATATCTAATGAAATATTACAAATTTATATATATATATATCGCCTATATAAGATATATATGACGCTCGCCTTGTCAGCGAGAGGTCGCAGTTTCGAATCCCGTTGGAGGCACTTTATTACACAATGACTTTTATAGGACTTTATTCGTTGAAAAGCTACAGGGTAGCCTACGATGTTCCATCATGTCCTTATTTAAACACTGTATATGTACCTTTAATAATTTATATTATATTTATTCAACAGTGTTAACGGCTAACTCCATTCAATATAATATAGATGTGTATAAGAGACAGGGCTATAGGTCTAGCAACTCTATGAGAAAAATATTTGGCCTGGAAAAGGGTGACCCCAGCCGAGGGGGGGTCGTCTGACCCCCTCCGACCCCTTCTGGCTACGGGCCTGCATGTGTCACCGTTTGTTGCCAACATATACATGGAATGGTGGATGAGAAAGCAGCTCGAGTGCTACAACTAACATCAAGCCCCGGAAACGATATGTCGATGACATCTTGGCGATCTTCCCAAGGGGCATAGTCAATGATCTGGACCAGCACATCAGTAACATAGACCCTTCATGTAATTCACCCAAGAACTCATGAAAGATAACACGGTACCGTTCCTAGACACACTCACCACAGTACATGAACAAGGTAACAACACAACGTCGGTGTACAGAAAAATCACACACACTAACCAGTACCTGAAACTTCAATTCCCATCACCCACTACAACACAAATTAATTGCGGTTAGGACTTCGATGGATAGGTGTGAATGCATTGTAACTACAAATGAAGAAAAATATGAAAGAAATGCAGAATATTAACAAATCACTCAGGGCGTGTAGGCCTACCTTTGGTCCGAAGGGTCTTGGTCCGACGGCCCATTGGTCCGAACGGGTTTTGGTCCGAAGGCCCGTTAGTCCGAATGGTCTTTGGGGGTGTGTGTGTATGTGCATGTATACATGTAAGACCATTGTATACGCACATAAATTGAAAGGCAAAAGAATGAATTACAAATCGCAATATATTTCAGCTCAGTATTATGCAACAGTAAAAACTAAAGTAAATTATTGGCTAGGCCTATCTTTATTTCTGCAGAAGACAAGCTTACTTACTTAATCCTATTCATGCTGAGAAGCACATAAGGCAACTCGGGTAAAATTCCTTGGCGAGAACACGATTTGCAGTAGCTTAATATTGAGACATGGGTCCGCAAGGGTGAAGGGGGAGGGGAGTGTGGGCCCTCAAGCATTGCATAGTATTCGCTCACGTATCACACGGGTGGCAGAAAAGGCTAAAGAAATCATAATGTGTGTTTAATTGATTAACAAGTTATATGTTTGTTTGTTTTTTCTCTCTCCTTTCTTTTATTTTTTTATATTAGCAAAAACACACATTGAAACAACATTTCGCCGACGTAGCGGTAACATAACAAATTGAATGGAACAGTAAGAATATTTATCTAAGACTTCGCATTTTCAATAGAAACCTGTTGAACGACTATATCAGCCGTGTCAGTCTGCTTCAAACAATATTATTATAATAGTCTCTATATAAAGCCGGGCACTGACTGTGTCGTACGACAGTCGTATAACGAATCCAACTCCTCTCCGACGCAGTGCCGTCTGCCGATTGTCGGTAGCACTCTGATCGGATCGTCGTCATTTAAACATGTTCCGTTGCGCGAGTTGCGTTGCGTTGCGTATAGAATCCCGTCGGCCGATCGAACCGGTCGGCGGCAGTGAGTGCCCGACTTAAACGAAACCTAAAAAAAATACGTAACCCCGGAATCTTGCAAAGAGTTCCCAGGGGCGAATTGTTCACTCAGCATAGCCAATTTATGTGTTAAGTTTCACCCAACACATATTTATTAAATCCTTTGTTATTTTTCAAAAATAACCATTTGGATCCATTATTTAAGAGATTTTAGTTTCAGTATCTAGGCCTACCTGTTTGTCTACAAAGGGAATTTCAGATACTATACTAAGGCTGAACTGGAGTATAATTTTCTTCACATATTGTTTGAATCATAAGGTATTATTATTTAAATGTATTTTTACGTCAGTTGAAACCATGAACTCTCAGGCATTACATTTTTGATTAAGATTAACTTGCGTTTCAGTTAACTAGTCTCAATTATTAGTTCGTTTAAATTTATGTAAGGGATGATATTGGTCGTTTAAATGACATATAAATATGTGTTGTATCAGGATGATTACATTTTTTATGTTTTGTAAATAAAGGACAAAACAATAAATTCGTTTTATGTTTTTGCTATCATTGCTGTGTATAAGAGAATGTACAGCATCTCCGCTGATCTGGAGTAGACAGTATATACAGTACACTTACATACCCCTCCCCATTCACCCATATACACCCAGTTCGAGTAACATAAGTGTCGTGCACACTTTGAGCCGTTTGGACAATTTGCGAATTGCGCGTACTCTCTTGCTTGCACAATTTGCAAAAACCGTGCAAATAGAATACTGTGTGATGAAAACTGTTTTGGAATCTGACTTTGTAATAGGCCCAGCCTATTTGGTGCAAAGTGCAAGATAATTATCTGGAAAAAAAAACGGATATTGTTTCCACTGGTAATATACAAAGCATAAAGTAGGCCTACAAACTGCAGGCCTGCAGATAGTAAACAGTACATAAAGGCTATGTTCACACACACGGCGTAAGACTGGAGTAGCTTACGCCGGCGTAACTAATCCACGGATTAAAATTCAAAAGTGTTCACACAAACGGCGTTCGCTAAATTAACGCTGGCGTTAAACTTGTAGTAATATGCCTATGGGGGAATAGTTTTCAGTTTAATATCATTATCAAAAAATACATTCAAATGTCAGATTTTACAACAAATGCTGAAAGAAACTTTGATCAGTTTGCAAACTGAGCACACAGTTTGAAACAAGTTTGAAACAATTACGGTATTATCCATGTGAGAATTCTACAGACCAGACGAATATTTAAAAAAAAATAATAATAATGTTCGTGAATCGAAATGAGCAAAGACCTCAAACTGCGCACATTATAAGCTTTATAATGAGCATTTCGCTAGTGCGAGACGAGGGACTGACCATAAAGAAACTAAAAATGGATGTCAGTTGGAAATATTATCTTGTAACGATTCTATATATTTTATTAAGTTTCAGTATCAATTCAGGTAAGCACTTCGATATCACTTCTTCAGTATTAATTTGTATTTTTTAAACCAAGTCTGTATTAATGGAACAAATAAATTTCAATGATAGCTGGCCTATGTGTTTGTGCATAGCAACATGGACTGTGTAAATATCGATTTTAAAGCTCAAACTGTTACGAAGCAAACAATAGAACCTCCATTGCTATCTCACCACAAATGCTGTAGGCATATTAACATATTTTTGTGTCATGAATTTGTTTTTTTAATGCAATCTCTGCATTTTATTGCATTTTTATATTATTATTATTATTATTATTATTATTATTATTATTATTATTATTATTATTATTATTATTATTATTATTATTATTATTATTCATTTTTCAGTTTTTAAATTATCATGACTCTTTTCCTCTTCACATTATCAACAAAACCAATACTGTACTCCAGTAAAGAAGCTATA